TGCATTCTGATTAGATTCGATTTTCCCTCGAGTACCTTGTCTCAGGAGGGCAACAGTGACCCATAAAGGAAACAATTTGCTTACTCTGCAGACACCCCCCCCCCTTTACAAGGAGGCTTAACTTTGACGCACCTTAACTACTTCTATAACTTGCTTTCCACGTCAACTGCCCAGGACGTGTTGAAGGTTCTGTTATATGCACGAAAAAATATATTGTTCTTGTCAAATTCGTAAGACAATATATAAAATAAGATGGCTGTCCTCTGGGTTGTTACGCCGTGTAGTCTGGTAGAAGTTCATCGACGTTTCAGAGGTGCTTTCTGCCTCCTAGATCAAGTTAGGTTAGGTTAACCCGCCCTCACACCTACCCTAATCGCAACAAGGACCTCTGAAACGTCGGTAAACTTCTACCAGACTACACGGCGCAACGACCCAGAAGACAGAAATCTTCATACTCATCACCCTGATGATGGAGGCAGTATGACCTCTGAAACGTCAGTAAACTTCTACCAGACTACACGGCGCAACGACCCAGAAGACAGAAATCTTCATACTCATCACCCTGATGATGGAGGCAGCATGACCTCTGAAACGTCGGTAAACTTCTACCAGACTAAACGACGCAACAACCCAGAAGACGGAGATCTTCCTACTAGCCCAATAAGGGTATAAATTGATGGTCATGGTACTGACGATGCAGTTCGAAGTTTGAGATAAATTCAAAATGACTATTCATTATCTGACGTTGAAATCTACATCGTTCGAGGATCTCATTATAAGTTCACGTGTAGAAAGGGTGGTACGCTTTCCTCTTGTTTCGAACCGCGCAACTTCAATATCAGAAGAGTCTCATACATATCGCCCTGTAATTACAGGGCGTCTGCCCCCCCTCCCCCTCCCCCTCCCCGGTGATAATGAAGACGTCTCTACAACATAAACGTCAGCTCTCCGTTTCGATATTAGCATCATAACATATTTCTTGGCGGAAAGAGGTTAACTGTTAAACCAAATTCCCTTTATCTACTTTCATAAACCCGTCAGAGTTTCTCTCTAAACAAATAACCTATCATGTAAAAGCTTTTATCAGAGTTTATAAGGGAATAAAATTCCTAAAGTGCCTCTTAAACATGCCGATGGATAACCTGGTAGCCATATTATTGCTACACGCGTTAGAGCCCCAGTCATCAATACAAATAAGACGCCAGCCCGTCGAGGGTCTGCAACAGCTGAAGTTGGAAGGAAAGGAGAATATCGCAGTTCAATCGACATAAATGTTCTTTTATCGAATACCTTTTCAACATGATGGATAAATAGTTAAACACTAACCTAACCCAACCTAACCTAACCTTACCTAACCTTACCTAACCTAACCCAACCTGTCTCCGAAATCTGATTTCTTAGAAAAAATATTATAAAATAATTCAAATACTAGTAAAGTATCTGTTTAATTTTTTTTTTCCCTAAAATCGTCTATCTCTCTGACAAAAAATTCAAACAAAAGATGCATACTAATTAATGAAATTAGACAGTAGTCAGATTGCAGTAGGCCTTTTTCCTCATAAATTTGTTAATATCTCAACTATTTAAAAGTCACAGTTACGAAATTTAGTGCCCAGCAGTAATTTGTCTCCAGAAATCTATATATGCAAAGCTTATGCACATATCTGTATTAGTTTTGGAGTTGTAACCTTTGAACCAAACTTTTTTAAAAAAAATTAAAAAGCGTTGTGTGCTTCGAAGATGTTCAAACTGCCCAAAGGCAGAGTCTGCAAAATGTTGTGGAAGAATTATTTCAGGCTAATGATTCTGATGTGGAAGACAGCAATGGGTTTGTGATGGTCACACAAAAATTGTGTCCACGACAAGTTAGTCAGATGACAATAGGATTTGGAATAAGTTAGAAAAATATATTACGTATATAAAAGTGCAATTCAAACAATTAAAAAACTTTTTACACAGAATAAATAAAGATTTCACATAAAGTAATTAAATCTTGAAAATAAATCTACACACATGCAGCAAACAAATTACACTACACAACGGCAGGTAAACCTTTAAAAAACATTATGTCATTTTTAAAAATTAGAAATCCATCAATAGAGTAAAACGAGTTTGATTTAAGTACCTTTCTATGCTACTTTAATTGTGACTTTTTATTCATAAGACTCTTAACATTAGATGACAGACTGTTGAAAATTTTGGTACTTGTGGGTTATCGGGACACATCGCTTTAAAAATAGGTTAGTTGAAATAAAATATAATAACTTTCAAGTATATGTCATTTATCCACACACATTAACCTAACTTAACCTAACCTATTTTTAAAGTGATGTGTCCCGATAACCCACAAGTACCAAAATTTTAATTTTCCGAAATCATGAGAGATTGGAAATTGGTCTATGAAACTGAAACTTATTCCTTGTGTTGACACTGTGTACAGTGGAATATCTAAAAAAGTTCTTGGTTATTCACAATGTAGTTAATTAATGAGAACACGTACTCACATCGAAGAGGTAAGATCTCTAATCTCTTAAACAGACTTCTACATAAATTTCTAACAATTTTGTTTTATAAAATGAATATATTTTTTGCTGTTGGATGAATTACCCTCCAAAATTATTCCATACCTCATTACAGAGTGAAAATAGGATAAGTAAACCGATTTGAGAGTGTCTGTGTTGCTGAAATGAAAAATAGATCTAGCTCCACTTCACTTTGGGGACCAACTGATCAATATAATTTTTCCAGTTTGTAGATATCAATTTGTAAACCAAGAATTTTCATAGACTTTGAATCTTCTATACACTTTACATCAGTGGTCCCCAACGCGGTGCCCACGGGCCCCATTTTCAGTGAAAGCAACCAAATTTTTCTGCGACCAATATGATGGTTTAACCTTCTCAAATACTTTAGGAAAAGTAGCTAATAGTGAAATTGCCCTATAGTTTGTAATACTTGTTTTTTTACTACTCAGATTTTAAGACGCTCTGGTAAAATGCTAGTGTACACCAAGTGGTTACAAATGTGAGTTAATGGGTATCTAATTAAACCTGAACAACCCTTCAAAATTCTACTCGTTACTTCACCATAACCTCACAAAAATATTTTTATTTATTTATTTTATTTTAGGGAATATAATATACTTTTTATCTCAGTTTCAGTGGCTGGAACAATTTTAATACCAGCAAGTTTTACAGGAAACGCATCTTTCAAAAATGAAAAAGCATCTTCACTCCCCACTTGATGTAACTTCAGATTTTCAATAACTGTTAGCAGTAAAATAACACCGAAGGCATTAGCAACTGTCACTGGATACTTTACTTCTCCACTGTTTATAAAAAGAGATGGCATCTGTTCAGCTTTTCTTTTCCTGCCTCCCACTTTGCTATGTTCTGTGTCCTTTTTATTATATTATCTGATTTTGCTATAAATCTACTGTAATGCTACATTTTAGACTCTCCTACAACATTATTCAGGATTTTACAGAACTTAATTTAAAATGCTCTTGTGTTTGGATCATTATCACTACACATACATAATTTATTTTATGTTTAAAAGATATTTTTATTCCTTGTGTAATCCAGTTATTCCTTGCTTTGCTTATATTTCATACTTGACTGGGAAAGTAGCTTTAAAGATATTTAGAGAAATATACAAAAATTAATTAAACGTTATGTCAGTCGATTCCCTGAGAAAAAGTACTGCTGGATGCCAAATGTTGTAATTCTGACTTTTTAAATAACTGAGATATGTACATTGCTTAAAAATTGCTGTCCTGTCATGTAAAATTCCTAATGTCATTAATTTAAATCTAGGGATTTAGTCACAACAGTACAATTAAACTTTGGAGAAAAAATTACTTCATGGAATTCTACCTGTAAAATAAAAATAATAAAAATCTGTGATGACATGGTTGACAGCGGTGTTGAATCTGAACTTGTCATCATATGGAGCAAAACTGTAGCAATAAACTAACATTTATGAATTTTTTAGGTTATATGCAATGCATGTTGACATACTTTTATGCTAAGTATTACATGCAATTATTTACGTTTATGATTTACACTGCCAAGTTATTTCATCAAGTCCTAAAGAAAGGCAGAAATGAAAAAGTATTCATTACTCACATGATGTGTAGTGCATATTTCTCTGCTGACTTCTAACCGCACAAAATTATTTAATTTAATAACTTTAGCTAAGTTATACACCATTTATACATCCCGCCTGAATGCCGCGTACGTTCCCACAATGGCGCACTTCTTTAAAGTTTCACTACGGATTGCATGGAACCTAGAGCTCCTCTTAACACATCGGATGTTATTCATTTGTAACAGGAAGGCACTGATGACGTTTAATGTACACCTGCGAAAGACAAATGGCGAAGTGTAGTTTTGGTCGCTTCAAGCCTGCATTTAAACTCGCTCTCCAAGCATATTCAAGAGCTTGTTACCACTCCGTTTCCGTATTGTCTGTTGTCGCCTTTTCATTATACAAGGCGTTTCCGTTCATTACTCCCGTCACCAGTGGCAAATGCTCTGTTCTGGCTAGCAGTGCGATGCCAGACTACTAAAATTGGGGGAACATAAAAAAGTTTTACAACAGCGACATAATGTCATTATTATTATTTTTAAAATACCTTAGCAATGTGGAGTGGCTGTTGAGGGAATTTAATAATATTGCATTTCCGAGTGATTTGACTTTTAGACCACGCCTCGCCACCGTCTTTTTTTTATTCAGCATTATATAACGGACGACTTGCAAATGACTCCATTTATCCTTTCACAAAGTGTCCGATTCAGAAGTGTGCTCACACAATGCTGACACTGGTGACAAACTGCTCAAACAAAATAGGATAGAAATGACAACCCAATTCTAACCCTGAAATTTCGTACTGCACGTTATTCGCCTATCAGTTCGACTAAAACGATGGCCTTATTCATCTTACGTTTTGCGAGAACAATGGTGCAATTAATCATACCGATCCTGCAACACAATATTACCTTTCGTAATAATCCTTTAATGGCGCTGCTTTAGCATCTCGTCTTCTTGTCCGAGGGTGAGTTTGGAATATTCATACCTTCCTCAAGGTACGACAAAATTCACAGCGGCTACGTGCACACCAAATAACTGGAAACAGCTCAACAACACAACTGACTATAGCACATGCAGTCATATAGCGCAGTGCACACCAAAGAAACCTGACAACTCCAACGCAACTGGAGAGAAAGTTGGTAACTCTGCCGGGAAACAACATGGCATGTCAGTTTCCTCCGAGTGTCCATCTAGATGTACAGAATGTTCAAAAAGTCATCCAACCCATATTAAAACATTTATTAATGGTTGCAATTCAATATAATTCTATTAGATTAATAAAGTCACAATATCAATGTGACTATACAAAGCCCATGCAAGTCACATCACGTTGTAACTTGTTCTTGCCAGTCCGTCAGTTGTCTTTCAACAGTCAAAGGATATAAAGGAGAAAAAGAGGCGTACACCTCTTGCCCCA